GTCTTACTAAGTGCAATTGTCTTACTACACTGGCAGATTATTTTAGTAATATTTTAAACTTATATTTAGATGAATTATTTTTGCAGTGTGCATGTAATTACAAAACATACATTGTTTCTGCTTGAATAAACAAAGGTTAGTTTGCCAGAAAAGAGATTATATGCATCAACCGGGTGTAAAATACTACTGTTCCTCTGTCTTCAAAGCTTCCACATTAACCRAAGCCTGTTGGAGTGACACTGTTAAGCAGTCAGCAGCATGTATCCTCATTTTTTTGCAAATGGGGCTTCAAAAACAAAGCAGTCCACCCCCTCACATTGTGCTTTCAAGACCACGAGATCAAATACGTAGAAAGGTTTTAGTGATTGACAACCAAGTTCAAAAGGCATTTTAATCATTTAGCTTCAAAAGGCAATATGTGGCCGGGYCTTAAACTGAGCTTCTTTCAAGCTTTAAATTTATTTAGTTTGGAACTGATAGAATAATTTACTATGAAGTAATATGCCACTTTCCATCAATTTTGCAAAAGATGCTATCGGTGCTATCTTAATGAAATTGGAGATCTGATCCAGAGAAAAAAGCCTGCAGTGAACCGTGAATTCAAACTCACAGCAGATGCCCTCCCGCTAAGATAAATCCTCTTGGCCTCTAAGGATGAGACTGTAAAGTTGAGCCTTTCACAATGGATGGCAAACAGAGTTTCACATGTCATTTTTGAATAGCTTCAGCCTTGCATGTGTGGGGAGACTTGARTGCCATGATGAAGCTACTGCAATACGCTGCACCTCTGCTGAATGCTGCTGCCAGTAAACACCACTGGTGCTGAGGTGAAAAGGTGAAGGACAAGCAAAGGAAGTAGGAAGTTCATTCTCTAACARGTAGCATCRCAAGTTTATTWTTWTTWTTTTTTTTACTTACATCTGAAAAGTGTTTTTTCATGTAGAAGTGCTTTACATCTGTTTGTCAAGTGTATGCCATATGATGCCATGTGTGTGAGTTTATGTGCATTTCCAAGAAGAGACACAGCCAGCGGGAACCTGGCACTGGAATTCCTGCCCATCAGGACTTGMTGAAAAAACAGATGGATCTCTCTGAGGTGTGCTTTCAGCCAGAAGCATCCTGCTCCAGGCCCTGTTAGCTCATGCCAACATCTCCCCCTTCAAACTCACCTCTCTTACCGGTCCAACCGCAACATCCATCACAGCCAGCTGCGTATGGCCTCTGCAAATTCGTCAAACCAACTGGCTACTCCTTCACTATCCCTTGAGTTTCATGAAATTCTACAGACCCTTTATCCACACAGCATGGTGATCTAATCAGAATGGAGCATCAAATATAAAATATTTGGAGTTGGCCAACACATCTTTAAAGATGATCCAATATTAAATGAGAGTTATTAAAATATATGAGGTTCGTCCAGCCTTAAAATGGATTAGTTTGAATCATCAGCACTAATTCATRATTGTTGGTTTTGGGAAGTGAATTTTCTGGTTGATAAAAGTTTGAAATGAAACTTCTCTCCAGCATGGAGCATTTTTATTTATTTCATTTTTTTTTTTTGTCCAACTCATAATATTGTTAATAATCATTAGGATTTCAGACACATCCACTAAAAATGGTTGTATCCGTGCCCACGACTCCTCTTAATGCTGTTCCATAGAGATTAACGCTCTTCTTTTAGTTATCTCCATTCTCACCTGTCTGCGAAACAACTCCGAGTTTGTTTTTGTCAAAGTGAGAGAATTTTCATGAAAGGGACCAGCTGTCTATTTATTTGTAAGTACTCTTCCACTGGCATATTTTAATCAGCGTGTTATTCAGTTTTTAATTAATCTGCAGACAGTGTCTGTATGTTTTCTTAAAGATAAGGCAAGGCAAAGGCAGGGGAGGTGCGCTTAATAATTCCCTCCAATTGTTTGCGTCTATGATTGCATTTCTAACCAGCTCTGTAAATACGCTCAACAAACTTTCAAACGTGCTGGGTCCCCTAAGAACCTGTTTCTTTGCAGCCAGTATTTCGGTGGCATCTCTGTTGTTTAAAAAAAATGTGTTTACTTAGAAACAAATTAGCTCCTGGAATTCACAGATCAAACGCAGTGATGGTCTGTACAGTCCATTCTTGAGGCAAGTGTTTTGAGATGAAGACCTCTCAGGGGCATCTTTCTTCAGTCAGGCCGTAGATTTTTTACTTTCTTTTTTTATTTTCATCCAGAGAAGTTCAATCCAATGACCGTTTGCTAACAATTTTGCTTAGGTAACCTTGAATCTTATGCCACTCTCTACTGTACAAAATAAATAAATAAAATCAGTTTGGAACATCCTCTAATGCAGCACATTCCAGCATCTCCTCACCACACATCATGTTTTCTGTGGTTTTGTCTCCAGCTGTGTACCAGTGTTAGGTAGAAGGACAAACTCAGTGTTTTTCTTCTTTTTTCTCACATCCTTATAACCTTTATAATCTGCTCAGTTGTTTCTCATTTATTATTCTTTATTGATTTTCATCATCAGCCCTAACACCCCACCCCCCAGCCATTCTCCCAATGAATCATTCTCCTTTCTCTCTGTCTCTCTCTCTCACACACACACACACACACACACACACACACACACACACTGAAGCTTATGTTGCAACTTCCAATCGATTCAGAGCCCCCAGCATACGAGGTATGGTGTTATTTTCTTTTCAGTGTAATACATCACAATCACACATGTAAATGGTTTATTGTTTTGCAGACTGAGCTAATGCAAAACACAATGTGTGACTGGGTTGTTGTCAAAAAGCATTAAATGCACTTTCGAATAACTTACAGAGATTGACAGCAATATTTCTTCGGCCAAAAAAGTCGTTTTGAAAACATAGAAAAAAGAACCGGAGAGTTTGTAGGGAAAATATAGCGGATATATTTTCTTATTATGTACATAATACAGAGGCTACAGTGGAAAATGTTACAATTCAGGTATGTTGATTAATTTATGTTACTGCTGCCACTGATTTTACAAACTCAACTTAATTTCTCACTTGAAGTAAATGTGAAAATACTTCAGCGTGCCAAAATATTTACAAAACATTCCCATATATATATA